CACCTCAACCCCCCGCTCCCCGCCCCCGTGGAAAAATTGTCTTCCACTAAACCGGTCCCTGGTGCCAAAAATGTTGGGGGACCGTTGCCCTAAAATACGCATTTTTTTTTTTTTTTTTTTTTGAGTCTCACTCTGTCAACCAGACTGGAGTGCAGTGGCCGCTCCCAGCCACCGCAGCCTCGACCTGCTGGGCTCCGGCGATCCCCCCGCCTCAGCCTTCCGAGTAGCTGGAATTACAGGCGCGCGCTACCACGCCCGGCTAATTTTTTTATTTTATTGTAGAGATGAGGTCTCGCCTGCCCAGGAGGGTCTCGAACCCGCGGGCTCAGGCAATCCACTCACCTCAGCCTCCCAAAGGCGCGGGATTACAGGCTGAGCCACCGAGCCCGGCTTGGTAGGCAATCTTTCAAACAGTGCTTTACTAAATTGAGGGGAACCTTCATCACAAATGATTAACACATTATACGACACTCAACAGAAAGATATTATATCTAACCAGCCTTTTCCAGAAGGTTCAGAGCACTTCTAAGAGTTCAAAAGACAAATTCGACATGTTCTTAAAGTAATATAATTACTTGAAATGCATCCAGACCATAAAATCCGTAAAGGAAGGAATTTTGCCGCGTGCACATTTTCATAACTGAAAGGCCACAGAGACGAAGTGTATGCAATCCAGTGATCTCTATTGTTCGCTATGGGAGTATGCTTACTTAAATAGTCTCTCAGTTTCCTCGCCCTTAAACTGGAGTAGTAATAACAGCCACCAACCTAGGGTTTGAATGATGATTAAATTAATTAATTTATGTAAAGGTTAAAATAGTGCCTGGCACAGAGTAACCACTCAAAATTTGTTGTCTGTTATCTGTATATCACCCCCAAAGTCTATATAGTGCACAAAAAAAATTTCTGAACTGATGAGTAAGACGAATTTTGTTGCTGTTTTTACCTTTCGCATGTGTTAGAGATAGAGTCTTGCTATGTTTCCCAGGCTGGCTTTGAACTCCTGGCCTCAGCCTCGGCCTTCCAAAGTGATGGGATTACAAGTGTGAGCCACCATGCCTGGCCAAATAAGATGAATTGAGACACTTCTGTGTGTCATAAATGATCTAATCATATTCTCTTAGTAATAATAGCCAAAATCTAAAAATATGTATCTATATTAAAGGGCCATTCCTAATATACTTATTTTCTTGTTTTAAAATATGTTTAAGATGAGAAGAAATATTTTTGTGTGGGAATTCAGTAGGACACAGATGTTTGGACATCAGTACCTGCACTCGGGCCTCAGTAAGCTTCGCCCTCTGGGCCAGTTCCTCCCTGGTATAAATATCAGGGTAGTGGGTTCTCTCAAAAGCACGTTCCAGTTCTTCAAGTTGTTCTGCTGTGAAGGTGGTTCGGCTTCTGCGCTGTTTCCTCTTTAGTGGTAAATCTGGTTCAGAGTCGATGTCAGAACCTTCATCTGATTGAGGTGCTGAGGCTAAAAGCACAGGAGAAAAGAAGTAGTAAAATGTGAATAAAAAATATAACATTGGAGTTGAGTTCAATCTCCCACACTGTAAGAACGTGTTGCAGTGGCCCCCACACCTAAAATAAAATAAAATAAATGTAGATCAAAAAATGAGTCTGGCCAAGCCATAATAATTCAAATCCTTGCGTATAGTACATTCCTACTGTCTTCCCATGAACACCAAGCCCTTCTATGCAACACTGCATCAATTAAATAATATTTAATTTCCTCCCCTACTCGATCTGCTGCCCCCAGACAGAATTAATTACTCTTGGCATCTGTCCTCTGAGGCTGATTATGAGCTCATAGAAAACTGGGCCAAGTATGGCGTGGTGGGCCACACTTGTAATCCCAGCACTTTGGGAGGCAGAGGTGAGAGGATTGCCTGAATCCAGGGGTTTGAGACCAGCCTGGGCAACTTGGTGAGATCTCGTCTTCACAATAAACAAAAAATTAGCCAGGCATGGTGGCGCATACCTGTACTTCCAGCTGCTTGGAGGGCTGAGGTGGAAGATCGCCTGAGCCCAGCGGGTCAAGGTTGTGGTGGCTGTGAGCATGCCACTGCACTCCAGACTGGGTGACAGAGTGAGACTCCGACTCAAAAAAGAAAAAAAGAAAACTGGGACAGGTCTTACTCTATTTTTATAGCTCAGTGCTTACTACTTAATGAGTACTACATTAAGAGTACTCCACCGAGTACTCCATTATGAGTATTTAATGAGTACTCCATTTATGTCAAATGAAAGAATTACATTTCATTCCTGACAAATTTTCACCAGAATTTACACTGGGAAATCTGTTGACGAATGTGATTTTTTTTTAAATTCCAAAATTAAAATCTGAAAAGCCAATAACAAATTATTGCAGGATTCCTATATATACTCTACTGCTCTTGTCAGAAAAATCACATTTAAATTTAGTATCTCATTACTAGACACTGGAAAATACTTTAAGGAGAATTCATGTACTATTTTTTTTTTTTTTAACTTGGAGTCTCACTCTGTCACCCAGACTGGAGTGCAGTGGCCGCTCCCGGCCACTGTAGCCTCGACCTGCTGGGCTCCAGCGATCCTTCCACCTCAGCCTTCCAAGTAGCTAGAACTACAGGTGCACGCTACCATGCCCAGCTAATATTTTATTTATTGTAGAAATGAGGTCTCGCCAAGTTGCCCAGGTGGGTCTTGAACCCGTGGGCTCAGGCAATCTGCTCACCTCGGCCTCCCAAAGCACTGGGATTTCAGGCTGAGCCACCGAGCCCAGCCGAATTCCTGTACTATTCATGTAATCCTCAAGAACTGATCCAAGAAGAAGGAGGCATCTTCTAGTGGACTGTCTCTAACCTGGTTTAGAGTCTGCTTCTCTGTGAGTAGGTGGGGAGTGTCCCAGGACAGCTGCTTGATTTGAAGAGTCAGTGCACAAAGAAAATGAGGAGTCCCTTTTTCAAAAATTATTATGAATTTCAAGAAGGCAACAACTGCACATTAACCCAAACACCAGGCCCCACCAAGCATGGGGGCCTGAGTGACTACATAAGATAAATGCCCCTGAGGTCGGCCCTGCTGTGTGCTCCCCCTCACACCCAAAGTTTGTGTTTCATATGGGGAAGGGGGCCTAGGAAAGAGAAAAGTAAGCTGGGAAATTCAACAGAAATTACTTTAAGGGTGCAATATGGTTTATGTTCTCATAAGAACAAGGTCTGGATCCTACAGAAAGAAGCTATGACTAGCAAACCTTGTACACAAGTGGTGCCATTTCTAGACCAGGATGTTTCTAGTAGAAACAGAGAGAATACCTGCTCCACCTAGAGGTGGAGGGTAGAGGTGGAGCAGGTATTCTCTGTTTCTACTAGAAATACGTTAAGGTGCCCACAGCAAAGTGAATTGTGATAGTAATAGAACATTTGTTGGCCAATACAACTCTGTGGCTTGAGGATGTATCAGACCAGGGTTTTGGGCAGGACAGCAACCCTCTCCAGAGGCCCCAGATGTCGAGGCAGTGAGCAGAGAGCCATCAAAAGAACTATCAGGCCACAGACCTTGAGGCTCTGGGTTTAGAGAAGGATCCAAGGCAGCCTGGCTCCTGAGAACGTCCAAATGTGCTGTGAAAACTCCCTCAAAGAACCGGGGATTCTCTAGAGAAAGGGCCGAGGTCCACTGTCAGCAAATGGGAAGCAAGCCAGAAAATTGTAGATTATCAATGTCAGTGTCACAGAAACTTATTCGCACCCTGAAGCTGGTAGAACCTAGAGAAATGCAGAAGCATTTCATGTTGCTAGAATTGATGAATAAAAGCAATGTGAAACTGCAATATGTCCTATACTTCTAATTCTCTTTTATCTCAAACTTAACTCTGCCCTACAGAAATCTACAATTTCATTCTACTTCAGTGGAAATTTTAAGCTGCCCAAAAAGGTACACATCCAAAATGAACTCATAAGTATAATTTCAAGTTTTCTAATATTTCAATACATTTTATTCACATTTAAACACTAAAACTGAGGCAATAGAGTGAATGAATAATACATGTGACAAATTAAAGATACTATACCTGCAAACAAATACTTGCACAAAAAGCAAAAGGGAAGTATAATATATAATGCATTTATTATGTTAGATATTATTTTAGGTTTTTCAATTGTTATCTAATGCAATATATAATAGTTTCATTTAATATGAATCTTATTTTAGTACTAGCTTTAAAAATAGACTGTCTTTGACTACAGGAATATTTCATCTTATTTTATTTTTGTATTACTGTAAACATAGTTTTATGAGTTTTATGGTCACTGGAGTCTTACTTATGCACATTCATATACTGAATGCTCAGATTATCTAAATACTGAAAGCTTCTTATCATTTCCCCAAATGATAAACACCTTTCCAAACTTTGCATGTTATCTGTTAACTCAGAGACTATCCTTAGCAAATTCTTGCTTCTATACTGAATTTCACAAATTGGTCATTCACAGAACTATATATTCATCAAATATCTTAATTTTTTTTAATTCAGCAAATCACATGAAAGCTTGGGACTGTCTCCCTTTGGATTAAACTCTTTTTTAAAAAGTTGTAATAAAATATACATAACATTTACCATCTTAACCATTTCTAAATGCACAGTTCAGTAGTGTTAAATACATTCATGTTGTACACTTCCAGACTCTTCATCTTGAAAAACTGAAACACTATACCCGTCAAACCACTCATTCTTCTTTTTCCCCCAGTCCCTGGCAAACACTATTCTACTTCATGTTTCTGTGAATTTGAGTATTCTAGAAACCTCATGTAAAGTGGAATCATACAGAGTTTGTCTTTTTGTGACTGGCTTATTCCATAATGCCCTAAGGTTCACACATATTGTAGCATATGTCAGAATTCTCTTTCTTCTAAGGCTGGACTACAGGAATATTTTTATGTGAGTCAGAGTCTCACTCTGTCACCTAGGCTGGAGTGCAGTGGCACGCTCATGGTCACCACAGCTTCGACCTACTGGGCTCAGGTGGTCCTTTCACCTCAGTCTTCAAAGTAGCTGGATCTACAGGCATGTGTCACCACACCTGGCTAATTTTTCTTGATTTACTGCAGAGACATGATCTTGCCACTTTGCCAGGGCGGGTCTTGAACTCCTAAGCTCAGGCAATCCTCTGGCCTCGGTGTCCCAAAGTCCTGGGATTGCAGGCATGAGCTGCTGCACCTGGCCTACAGGAATATTTTAAAGGACTATTAACATGCTAAGAAATATGCCATGCATTGTATTATAAACTTCAAAAGCTCCCAATACCACTTATATGCATATATGTTTAATCAGTATGATCTAAACTAAATGAGCAATAATCTGTGCATAGTTGTAGAGCTATGCTTCTCACACTTTTGGAGCTTCAGAATCATCAGAATCACCTGGAATGTTTAGTCAAACATACATTGCTGGCTCCCTTCTGGATGGGTCCCCCAAAATTTGCATGTCTAACATATACCCAGGTAGTGATGTCAATTCTACTAATATTGGATGGCACTTTGAGAACCACCTCAACAGAATATTCCAGATTACTATTTTCCCCTCTCAAAATGTCCAAGTATACAAAATGCTTCCTGCCACAACTTATCAAGAAAATCATTTCCACATATACATTATTAAATTGTAAATAAAATGCTCCCTAAGAAACAAATTACCTATTCCCCTAAGAAGACAATAAATGTCCATAAAATGTTTTCCTTCCATGCTTCCAATTTTTGTTGCCCTGACCTTTCTTTCCACAGTGAATCTAGGCAGAAAACTCAATAGCACCTATCAACTGACCAAAAGCTTCCTCTGCCCAAGAGAAACCTAAATCTTTTCTTGCACATGCTCTTCCTATGATCCCATTAGGATAACAGTATGTGGAAATTTTTATGTTTCCTTTGGGAGTCTCTGGGGTTATTAAATTCTCCCAAGTAAATATGATGTGCCATGCACTGTCAGGTCAATTAATCAAAATCATCTCTGGTTTCTGAAGAAAAAGACTGGTTAAATTTACAAGCACCAGTGAGAATTAATCCTGAGGGTCAAGATCACAGTGTTTCACCTCAACATCCCCAGAATATAAGCCGTGTGAGCTCAAAGCCCATCTCTGCCTTGTTCACCACTGGAACCCTTAGAACACAGTAGGTGTTCAAGAAGTACATGTTGAATGAATGCAAGGGCAGAGTATAATTTCAGTTTTGCTCTAATACTGATTTATTTGACCCTGTTTATACATCTTTATTTTTAAAATGGAAATTCTGCCCTTATGACATCTCCCAACATCTATTTCAATGGACTCTGGGGGTTTGTGAATCTTTAACAATAATTTGTAACGTTTAGCAAGCATTTGTGTACCTGCATTTTTCTGAGAAATAATATTCAATTTTTTCAAAGAAGATTGTAACTTCTTTTTTTAAGAAGAAGAACTATCAAAAGCTAGTAACTTAAAAGGTTGAGAATCTAGGGCAGTA